GGCTTATGGCAGAGAAATGAACGTTCATTTCACAGGCAACAGTTCTGGTTGACATTCCTGCAGTCAGCATGCCAATGGCACGCTCCCTCAAAAGCTGCGACATCTGTAGCATTGTGCTGTGTGATCAAACTGCATATTTCAGAGTGGGCTTTTATTGTGGGCAGTCTCAGGCACACCTGTGCGATATTCATGCTGTCCAATCAGCACACCTGTGAGGTGGGATGGATGATCTCGGCGAACGAGAAGCTCTCACTAACACAGATTTAGACAGATTTGTGAACTATATTTGACAGTCATGGCTCCTTTGTGTTTGTAGAAAATGTTTCAGATCTTTAAGTTCAGCTCATGGAAAATGGGAGCAAAAACAAAAGTTTGCGTTAATATTTTTGTTCATTGTATGTAGAAATATTCCGTACACTTTATGCAATACTTGTCTTTAACCCACTGTATTAAATATGGAAGTGAGCATTTCAATCACACCTTGACTGACTGTCAGATATTTACCTGCATTTCTCTTTCACCACAGATATGGTTCTACACCAACAGCATCTTTGAAAATGCTGGAATTCCAGCTCCAGAGATCCAGTATACCACAGCAGGAACAGGAATTATAGAGATCATTGCTGGACTCATTGGGGTAAGCATACAAATTAGAATTCATGCAATTATATAGCAGTTGATGTTACCTTTGGATTAGTGTTGTATTGCATTTTATTTCCACAAAAACAGATATTCATCACGTACAGAACTGAAATCAGGAAGTGATTTTGGGGCCAGCTTAGCTTAAAGGAGGGAAGCAGAGAGAAACACCTTGCCTAGCTGTTTCCATTGTTGCAAAATATTTTGAGTGCTCGAGTTTATCAGAAAAACACAATATAAGAATCAGTCCATCACATTACGTAGGTACTAGTTTGCAACAGTGTCGATAGCAACAGCACCATCGTCCTCCAGTTGACACACACTGACTCACACTGCATTGCAGCAGACAAGGTGGCGCAAAGCTGAACACATGAACAGTAGCTGACAACAACACTGCAAATGCTGCTGCAAGTATTTATCAGACAAATGGTCAAATGGTGAAAATCCAGTTGTTGATAGGCCTTTATAGGTAATGTATATGAAACAGAAAATTTGGAATCACCAATTAACATAACACATCTCTGACCTGTGAAAGGAAGTAGGAGTGCATGAAGACTCCGTACAGAATGGCTCCAAAAAACTGGTGCATGCAATGGTGCTAACCAGTGCTAAGCAAGGAAGCAAGTTTATCATACTGCCCATATGTTAATGCGAATACACAGTCATCACATGATAGCATAATACTAATATTTGTTGTCTAAAAAGTCTTATGTCCAAAACTGAAACTGGAAACGTCTGAGAAAAGTTTACCAGCAACGTTATTTTTGTGCCACTATTCTGAGCGCACGTAAAAAATGTTTGCAGGTGCAAGTGTTGCATTTTGAGGAGAAATTTATTTTGAGTGAAGAAAAGCTGAATTTGAGTGAATAAACTTCATTGCTGCGTGCAAAAAATGTATTTCAGTGTTTGCTATTATCCACACACACACACAACAGCAGCCCCTCTCGCTCAGTTTTTGTATTTGCGCTCGCTCGCAATGTGTTGCTCGCGCTCTCAACATTTCTGCCTGTGCGCGTTCAACTCTTTGTGTACACCGTTATAGTTGTACCACAAAACCAGCCAATCACAGACTTGGATGCAAAAAA